TTGCTGACCTGGCAGGCATGGGCAGAAAGACCAAGAAACAGGAGCCTGGCAGGGCTAGGCCGGGCATGAATATAGGTGATCTTCGGCCGACCATCTAGGTGAATGCTTAGACTCCTCGGACGAAGAAACGATTTATGAGGTGACTGTAGACGTACCTGCCCAAGCATGTACTCCACTGGACCCACGGAGTCAAGACTTCCAGCCTGTCACAATAGGGGCACTGAAGCAGCTGCTCACAAATCTACAAAAGCATATTCAAGCCGATGTGGCCTCCTGTTGCACAGACCTCTGACCTGGCCTGGTGGGCAGGCTGAGAACCCTGGAGAGCTCCTCTGATTGTCAAGCATGGAAATAACCGCTCTAGAGAATACAGTGCGGGGCCTGCAATAGCAGCAGTCCCTGACTGAGCAGAAATTTTCAAATCTAGAAGACCTGCGGTGGAGCAGGAACCTAAAGATAAGCGGCATCTCAGAGGAGATACTGACGGTGCAGCTCCCACATCTAGTAAGGCGATTGTTGGTGGCATTATTTTTATTTTTAAATTCTTTATTTTTTGTGTGCAAGATTTCACAATTAAGCCGTGGTGCCACAATAGCATTCACGTGCACATTTTCAACATTACATGGCACATATAAGGTCTGCACAATTTTTATAGTGATAGTGGAAAGGTAGTTAAGCATATAGTGCTCCCGCCATATTCCCCGCTAGCGTTTGCAATTTAATCAGTTGGAGCATAAAGATAGGCATAGTTTAGGATTACGTTTTGTTTCACATATTTTGCACGACATATAGTTAAAGATATACAGGCTATAATCCTCTGAGTGTGTGATCTCTAGTGTGTCATTTGGACTTAGTAGTTTAACTCTGGCTTGGTTTTACCTCGGGCGCCACCCTGGAGTGTGTGGGGTTGGTTTGCCTTCGCTCCCCTGGACGGGTCTGGAGTCTGTTTGAGTAATATCGATGAGTTTGTCACGGCTTGTGTGCATTGTCGTTGTCTGTGGTAGTGTGTGTCTGTCTTGAGTGGTGTCCTGTGTTGCGTGTATGTGTTACTCTGCCTGCTGTGTGTACTGTTTTTTTTGCTGTACGGGTCCTAGCGTGTGTGGGTCTGTGGGTACCGACAGTGTCAGTGTGTGCAGGGCTGGAGCAGCGTTTTAGTGTCCATTTTATAGTCCAGGAACAGCGTCCATCGTTAGCCGGTGCTTAGTCTTTGTAGCGGGCTTGTAGGGCCGTGAGGGACCCGGTAGCAGAGTCCAGTTACGCGTTTCTCGGAATCTTGGGCACTCCTGGGGGCCTGCTTCTGCAGCTCGTGGTGGAAATACTTCTTTTGATGGCCACGGTCCTTCCCGTGAAGGGGCTGTTGTAGATCTTAATGTGGGGCGTCCCCCTGTGTTGTCGGGTCCGCAGTTTCTTAGGTTGATGTTTGTGTTTGCGGCTGGCGCTTCTGGGCGGCTGCAATCTAAGAGGGCTCGTGAGGTAAGGTTGCGTGGATCGCGCGCTACGGGTGCATGGGGAGGTTTACCTCGTTTCCCACCCTTGGTTTTGTGGCCTGCGAGCACTTGCCGATGCTTGTTGCCACTTAGGGTAGGGTGCTGGCCCTTCATGGGGGCTTGTGTGGTCTGCCAACCGACTCTGCTTTCTGGCGGGCCCTGCAGTACTTGATGGGTCTTTCTTTGTTTGTCCACGTGGATGCGGGCTGTCCGCCATTTTGGAGAGCTCCGTCTGGGTTGTGCCTTGCGGCCCGGTTTGTATTTGGGCTCGGCAGACGTCCTTGGTGGTCGCCCATGGGGACCGGGATAACCCCCACCGGTCCAAAGGAGGGGGGGGTCGCAGGACGCCGCTCGGAGACCCGGGGAAGTGGCCGTCCCTCCTCGGCTCAAGCTCGTATAGGCCTCAGGCCTTGTTCGGGTTACTCCGGTGCTGTACCGTGGCATGTGTGGTATCACTGTGTGTGTCCATATCTTGTGAGCAGTTTGGTTGCCGATTTTGGTCGATAGCTTCTCTGGCCCAGATCCTGGAGCTCAGACGAAACACGTCTGATCTGTTCAGCGGTCAGGCTCCGCCCCGTTGGTGGCATTATTAACACCAAAAATGCCAAGAATGTTGTCCTAGATGGAGTATTCCGTATCCCTTATCCTAGTAAAGCCCCTGACAAAGCTCCAAGAGACTTGGTGACATGCTTTCAAAATGGGAGGGGTAATTCTGCAGTAATGGCTGCCCTTAAAATGACTTTCCTGTATGCATTTGAAAATATTGGAACTCTCATTTTATGAAGACATCTCCGGAAGTACATTATAATGGAGAAGATCGCTTCAATCATTCACCACCCTTCTCCAAGAACACGATATCCCATATAGCTGGTGGTCATCCTGGACTGTCGTGGTCACACATGGGAGTTCCACTTACACACTTTAAGATATGCCTGCATGCTAGACCATGATGACAGGCATTTTGTCTCTTTACCACCTATAAAAACCTTCAGCTAACTGGCATTATCAATACTGTACACTATGTCTTTATTTACAACTATGTTAACCTTTTCACAGTATTTGTACTATGTCGATTCCTCACATTAGTGAGTAAAAATAAAGAATTTAAACAAAAACAAAAATCTGAGTAAACGTGAAGGAAGAAGTCACAATATATACATAATATTTAAAATGTGGAAAATATAAGACAAAAAAATTCCTAAGCGCAGGGCTTAAAGCTCCACTGTTACACCAAACTTACCTTTCTCCTATTGTTTCCTCTTTTTTCCTCTCTCAGAATCTGTTCTTCTTTTCTTTATTTCTGATCTAGTTTTAGAAAACTAATATAAAGTTGGGTCTACTTTGTCTTATGTATTTTTCTTATGCTTGAATTTCTTTGACCAAAAGAGGAGCTTAAGTCAGCTCCACTTCCTGTGACAAGGAGAAGGGTGAGTACTTTCTTTGACACAGAAAATGGAACTGACTTAAGCCCCCTCCTTGTGTCAGAGAATGTCAGGAAGACAGCCTTCCCAATCGCTGCTTACCTTCAGACTACCTGCCGAATGTTCCAATCAGGAGGCAAATGCCCTTAAGTATAATGTTTGCGAGAGGGACACTGCACACTTGCGGTGTATAAATTCATTTTCAGCCCCATTGTCTTTGTCCTGTTGGGATTTCCTCTTGGTTCCTCGTATAGTGTGTTGTGTTGTTCCCTGATTTTCAGTTTTTTCCGATTTTGGCTTCTTAACTGACTCTTCTGACTTATGTAATCCTGACATCACTAGTTATATAGTATTTCTGTATTTCTGGAATCCTGATCTTGGCTTGTTTTACGTTTATGCTTTCTCTCATTTTTATGTTAAACCCGGCGATTCTAAGATCCAGTAATATGTCCTTTCTGTCTACTAATTCCTGACCTACACTTGTAAGTTAGTGTAGCCATGACAAGATACCAAAAAGGCATTTGAGAGATTAACTTTTCCTTCATCCAGAGAAAA